TTGTTATGGTGGCAAGAGAAAACTAACACACTATCCAATATGAATACCAGTGAGAAGCAGTAAAATACTAATTTAAGGAGATTACAAAAACTTAAGTATGTATGTTAAAATCTCTAGTGCAACCTCTGGAAAAAACTATACAAAATTAAAGTGGAATAATTTAAAAATACTAGTAATCCAAAAGAAGGCATGAAAACGGAAATAGAGGAATAAAAAAACAGAAAGGATAAACAGAAAACAATAAAATGGTAGACCTAAACCCAAATATCAATAATTTGGGCCTAAACACACCAATTAAGAAACAAATTGAAGATATAAATTTTAAAAAAGACCCAACCAAATGCTGTCTACAGGAAACATACTTCTGGTTAAACGTAAAAGGACGTAAAAAGATATGTAATGCAAATACCACTTATAGCTGGAGTGGTTATATTAATGTCAAACAATAGACTTCAGAAAATTAAGAAGGAAAAGAGACAATGCATGTTGCTACAAGGGTCAGTTCACCATGAAGATGTAACAAACCTAAGTATGTTGGCACCTGACAACAAAACTTCAAATACATGAAACAAAAATTAATAGAATTGAAAGGAGATGTACACAAATCCACAATCTTAGTTGGATACTTCAACATTCCTTTCTCAGTAATCAATACAAGCAAACAGAAAACCACCATCCATCAACTGGTGCTAACTGACACTTACTGAACACTCTATCCCAAATAACCATCTCCCCCTCTCCAAGTGCATAGGAAATATCTACCAAGACAGACCATATCCTACATTGTTAAGTAAACATTAACAAATTTAGAAGGAATGAAATCATACAATATTATGTTCTCTGACCTAGATGGGATTTAAAATTAGAAACCAACAACAAAGAGATGGTGCTAAAATTTCCAAATACTTACAAGTTAAACTACACACTTCTAAATAATACACGGGTTAAGGAGGACATTGCAAGGAAAACTAAAAAAATGTTTTGAAATGAACAAAAATGAAAATGTAGCATATAAAACTTTGTGGGATGCAGCTCTCGAATCCATAATCTAAGTTTCCACCTTAGGAAATTAGAAAAAAGAGAAAAATAAATTCAACTTAAGAAGAACTATGAAAATAACAAATAACAGAAATCAGTCAAATAGAAAAGGGAAGAACAATATAGAAAATTAAAGACACAGGTAGGTTATTCTTTAAAAAGATTCTTTAAATTGATAAACATCTAGCTAGACTAACAAAGAAATAGAAAAGACAAATTATCAGTTTGGAGAGTGAAAATGTGATGTCACCCTGCAGACACTAAGGATATTAAGAGAATACTATAAACAACTCCACATGCATAAACTGGATCCATTAGATGAAATGGATCTATTCCTTGAAAATCACAAACTACCAAAACGCACCAAAGATGAAACAGAAAATTTGATTAATCCTTTAACTATTAATGGAATTTATTTCACTGTTAATCCTTTTGAAAAAAAAATCTACAGGCCCAAACAGTTTCACTGCAGAAGCCTACCAAACACTTAAAGAAGAAACACCAATCCATATATCCCTTCCAGAAAACAGAAGAGAATACTTTGCAACTCTTCCCTAATCTAATAAAGGGCATCTACAAAAATGCCTATAGCTAACATCATAGTTAATGGTAAAAGAATGAACACTTCTCTTAAGAGTAGGAATACCATAGGACTTACTCTAAAAGTTACAATCATCAAGATAATGTGGTATCGGTAAAGATAGAGCGAGACGTATATCAGACTGAATGAAGAGCATAAAAACAGACCCGTGCAAAGGCATAAAGGCAGCTCAGTGGAGAAAGGACAGCCTTCAACAAACAGAGCTGAAACCATCAACCACCCATATGAAAAAATATGAACCTCAAACTAAACCTCACACCTTATACAAAAGGATCATGGAGATAAGGAGAAAATTTAAACTCTCCAACACCAGAGAGAATCTTTGTGATAGGAGGTTAGGCAAAGTTCTTAGATGTGGCACCAAAACAACAATCCATAAAAGGAAAATCTGCAAAGTAGCACTTCATCCAAATATAACACTTCTGCTCTGCAGGAGACACTTTAAAGAGCATGAAAAGACGCTAGATTGGGGGGGAAATACTCACAGATCCATATCTGATAAAGGGCTTGTATCCAGAAGACTCTTGAGAGTCCTTTGGACTGCAAGATCAAACCAGTCAATCCTAAAGGAAATCAACTCTGAATATACATTGGAAGGGCTGATGCTGAAGCTGAAGCTTCAATACTTCGGCCACCTGATGAGAAGAGACGACTCTCTTGGAAGAGACCCTGATGCTGGGAAAGATTGAGGGCAGGAGGAGAAGTGGGTGACAGAGGATGAGATGGCTGGATGGCACTACCAACTCAATGGACATGTATTTGAGCGAACTTCAGGAGAGAAGCCTGGTGTGCTGCAGTCCACGGGGTCACAAAGAGTCAGACTCGACTTAGTGACTGAACAACAACAATCCAGAATATACAAAGAATTTCTCAACATTCAGTGGTGAGAAAACAACTCAATTTAAAAATGGGTAAAAGCACTGAATAGACACTTCACCAAAGAGGGAACATGGAAGGCAATTAAACACACAAAAACAGGCTTAATATCATTAACCACAAGGGAAGTGAAAATCAAAGTCACAAGGAGTTAACACCACACACGTATCAGAATGGCTAAAATAAAAAATACTGGCAGTTCCAAATACTGGAGAAAAACCGGATCTCTCATAGTGGAAGGCAAAAAAGTAGAGATACTCTGGAAATTTGGTGTTTGTTTTTTTTTTTAAAGTTAAACCTTTACTACATGACTGAGCAATCTCACTCCTAGGTACACACCTTAGATAATTTTCTGTTCATATAGAAACCTAAACACAAATATTTGTGGCAGTTTTATTCAAAATTGCCAAACACTGGAAACAACCCAAATATCCTTCACTGGGTGAAAGTAAAACAAACTGTGGCACATCCATACAGCGGAGTAGCACACAGCCAGGAACAGCAACACGTGTGAACCTCAGACATACTGAAAGAAGCCAGTCTCCAGAGGCTACATCCGCTGTGATCTATCAATGGGACCTTCTGGAAAAGGCAAGTCTATACAGATGGAGGACACAGACGTGTTTGCCAGAGGTGGGGTGGGGCAAAGGGGCAGCATGAGGGAATTCTGAAGTGACGAGCTGCTCTGTGTCCTGATTGTGGAGGTAGTGACACAAATGTGTTAAAACACATAGAACCTTACATAGGAGACAGTTACTTTTATGGTATGTGAATTGAAACATTTTAGAACCTGAAACAAAATATACCCAAATAAACTTCTCTTAAAAAAGAAAAAAAAAATGCTTTCAAAGAAATTTTCCACCTGGGTTTCTTTCAGATGGGTTTCTTCTGCTTGGGGGTGGGGGGGGCCTTGCCACACCAGCCCTGGCGTTTGTGGGTCTGTTTATTCATCGAGAAAATGCGACCAGTCTCCCCTGATCCTAAAATGATACCCGTGGACAGGCTCTCTGTGAAAGTAGGGGAGGGGTGGGTGTGGGGAGAAGGCATGTTTGGCCTCCACCGGGCTCTGGACCCACATGGAGCAGTTCTCCTTTGGTCTGAAAACCTCTGGGTAGAATAGCTGGTCTTGAACAAGATCCTTGCATACCTTGGAACCACCCTGGATTTCAGGACCTTCAGTGGAGCTCGCTCATTCATCCCTTTGGCACACGCCTCGTGGACCCCAGTGGCCAGCTAGGCCAGGGGTGGCTCTCATGGTCAGTGATCTAAACAAGGCCCTTTGGGGGAAGCTGGATGTGTGCTCCTTGTTCTAGGACTCCCAGGTGACATGGGTTAAACACAGTGGGAAGCCTGGAAAGGCTCTGAGATGTAGGCCTCCTGCAAGGCAGGAGTGCGTGAAGACTGAAACTGTTTTTTCCCCACCCCGTGCAGGATGACTTTTGGGAAGAGCACTTTCTGAGCAATAAGGGGCTGTGCACAGAGGCGGGGAGCCACTGTTGTGAGGATGACTGTCAGACCTGGGCCAGCCGGGGCCAGGGCATCATTCGTGCAGACAGCGGCTGGTCGCACCAAGCACCTGCCACGCGCTGGGGCACTGCGCTAAAGCAGCACGGATCCTCACGACGCCCCTAGGAGGACAGGGCTGTCATCACTGGGAGAGGAAACTGAGGCTCCAAGAGGCCACAGGCCACATGAGCAGGAGGTGACAGGGCTGTGTTTCGGTTCACAGCTCCAGCCTTCTGGGCTGAGGCCTGTGCAAGGAACCTCTGAGGCCCAATGTCAGGCCACCTCTCCATACGTGCTCCGAGATAGAGACCAATGACACCTTTCATCAAAAGCTGGAGAAGAGCTTGCCATGTAGAGCAGTGCTCAAAAAAAAAAAGTTTAAAAAAAATTTTACACAACAGAATGCTTCGTTTGAAAACTATCTTATGTGTAAGTCCAATCCATCCAGAAAACCAGAGCTGGGCAATGGTGGCTGAAGGTGAAAGCAGGGTTGCCTTGGGGCTCCCAGAGTTTCTGGAACACTGCTTGAAGGCTACTCATCCAACAGGTTGGCACTTAAACTGTGAGAAGCACAGGAGGTGCCTGATGCTTAAGGCTGGCTTTGGGTTTGAAAGAATGAGGTGGGATTATAAAAGACTCATTCCTGGGTTAGTCGGTCATGGGGAAGACTGGATTCCAGCCTTGCCGTGTGCACTGGGCGCTGGTCCACTTGACCTGGGCACCACCTGTTCACCCGCCCCTCTGCTCAGCAGCCATGACTTGCCACTCACTGGGAGAAAATTTATCTTCACCATCTTACATGTAGTAAGCTGACTCTTTAAAGATATGAATGATAAGATTAAGAGCTTACAGCACCCTTCCTTTTTCCTTGCCCTTATAAAGGCGTCACCTGGTTTTGCTATATTGACAAAAGGAGGGTGTCTGAGCACAGATCTTGGTGGAAGACCAGTGACCCTGGGGCACGTGCTGGCAGAATGATTCAGAGTGGAATCATTAGACGGACCTCCTTCTCGTAGATGTCAGGGATCATGCCCACGGGGGAGCTGACCATGCGCACAGTGTTCCTGCCAAATAGCTGGAACTCATAGTGGATGAGCTGCTCCCAAAAGCCGTTGTTGGGCCGGATGATGGGCCGGCAGGACTTGGTCCACGTGTGGGCGTCCAGCAGCGACATGGCGTGGTACTTCATGAGATAGGCGAGGCAGAGGGCGGCCGAGCGGCTCACGCCGGCGGCGCAGTGCAGCAGTGTGCGGCCCTGCTTCATGTCCACGCCGTGGATGTGGTCTGCGATGGGGTCAAAGAAGTCACAGAGCCGCGAGGCAGGCGTGTCGGCCACGGGCACCTGCACGTAGTGGATGTCCTCATACAAGGTGTTCACCACCTCCACCGAGACGTTGATGACCGTGCTGATGCGGTTGCTCAAGAGCATGAGCCTGTTGTTGGCGGCCGTCCCACTGCTGATATATAGGCTGCTGGTGATCTGCGAGAGGCCGCTGACCGAGGGCTGCCGGAACTGAACCGGGAAGGCACCCGGGGGTGCTGTCATCGGGCCGGTGGGTCAGCGGCCGGTGAGACATAAAGGCGGCCTCTTCCTGCTAGGCTGTGTCCATGGAAAACTGCAAGGAGGCAGAGGAGACAGGTGAGGAGCCCCAGTTCACGGCCCCCTGCTTCATATGACTCAGTGGGGCCCCTCAGCTTGGCTGTCAAGGTCACTTGTGGCCTGGCCCCCTGCCCATCTCTCCACCCCACTTTTAACCTTTCTCAGGTCCTGAAGGGCCTCAGCTGGGCTGAGTCATGTTCTGTTTCGCACGGATACTGGTCCTCTCTGGTCCAGGGCCCTTCCTGCTCTCAGTCCAGAACCCCCTTTCCTTACAGCCTGTCAAGTCCTAGTCTGTCCCATTCAGCAGAGAACTGTTGAGCATAGGGATCTTGGCCAAGGGCCACTTCCTGAGGGAAACTTTCTGGGACTATACCCCTACCCTACACATAATTGAGTACGTGCTCCAGGCAGGTCCCGGGTGCCCTCCTTCCTAACATTTCCTGAAGATGTGCTTTTGCCACTCCCTGTCTGTGAGTTCTCATGGTTTATCACTGTTTCTGCCTTTGTTCCTACTATACTGCCAGTGCCAAGCTGCATGTTCCCACAAGCAGGTGCTTAAAAAAATTTGCTGAATGAAGAAATGACCCCAACAACCAGGACTCTGCCTCCCAAGAGGTTTTCTGGAAAAGATGGGCTCTCTGGCCATGTTTCTCTAGAATTTTGGGGAGAAGCTGGCTGGAGGTGAGGGTGGTTCTTAGGCAGCTGGAGAGGAAGGTCAAAGGCTGCCTAGACAAATCCTACCTACCAGTACCCCCAGAGTCCAGTGCAATAGGCTCACCCCAGGTAGGTAGGGCAGATGGGACTGGTTTGTTCTAAAAGTCTTATGTGAAGTGAAAGTGAAAGTCACTCAGTCTTTGAGACCTCATGGACTGTAGCCCACCAGGTTCCTCTATGTTTTTCAGGCAAGATTACTTGAGTGGGTAGCCATTCCGTTCTCCAGGGGATCTTCCCTACCCAGGGATCGAACAGGATCTCCTGCATTAAAAGCAGATTCTTTACTGTCTGAACTACCAGGGGCAGGAAAAAAGCCTTGCCCTCAACCAGCTGGAAGCCCAAATGCTAAGGGATGTTCTGGATCCTCATCACCTGAAAACCCAGAAAGAAGTGGACAGAGGGCCCCCAAAACTAGTGCACAGTGGGCAATTGGAATTAGGGGAGACTGTCATTCATTACAGGGACAAAAAGTGTGGTGAGAAGACACTGTTCTGGAAGGTGAGGGTAGTGAAGAGAGGAAAGTCATTTTCATGCTAATCGAGAAATACTTATCAGGCACTGTGGTAGGTGCCGGGGATACTGAAAAGTACAAGACAGCCATGGCCCACTCTCTCACAGAACTCAAAGTCTCACGGGAAAGACAGACATTAAATAGGCAATTAAGGGTGCAACCAAGTTGAGAAATAGGGATAATAGTGCCTACCCTGAAAAATCTTTTACCTTCCAACTTTTAGATTAAAAAGAGGAGAAAATTGAAGATCATTTTTCACCTGTACAAGGAATACCTAAAACTGGTCTAGGAAAAACCTTGGTGTGTGTTATGGACAATTAACCACTAAAATTATTGTTAAGTTATCTGGAGTTAGCAGAGAATTTGCATCTTGAGTGATCTGAGCTGAACCTGAAGACTATTAATAAGTTATGTTTGGAAGTTTAACTTCAATGAAGTGAATGTTTGTTGTGGGAGAAACAAATACTGACTTACTAAACAAAGATGGTGCGGTATGCTTGTTTTGTTTTTTTTCACAAGGCTCCTGAGAACCCAACGGCAGCATCTCAATTCAGCTGAATGAGAAACGTGTTTAGTATCAAAAGAGCCCAAGACACTGGTGTGAAAGTACAGTCTCAGAGGTTGGTCAATTACTGTGGCATACACTTTGTACAATGTAGATCTGAAGTACAGTGGTGAAAACATTAAATGTGACCTTTCAAAAAGAAAAAAAAAAATCATGTGAGGATTAACTGAGGTAATCCATGTAAAGTGTTTAACACAGGGCCTGGCACATAGTTAACTACTGTTGCTGTTAGGGAAATTAAAATCTGGGGCATTATGAGAATGAAGAGTAAACGGAGTTACTTCAGGCTGTGGCTACAGAGTTGCAAAGATCGCCTGAAGAAATGAACCAAAGATCTGAAGAACTTTTAACTTGAGGGGGAGAGAGCGGGAGAAAGAGCGACGCGGCATTTCAGTGTCACCATTTTACTGCCTACAAAGCCTCTGGTTCGATCTCCAAAACAGCATAGCAAGCCGGTATCCGGCGTTAGTATCTCCATTTTACACACGGGGAAAGTGAGGCAGAGTGGGGAAAAGGACCTGTCTAGGGTCACAAAGCAAGGCTCAAAACAGCCGATCTTTCTAGAGGGAAAAGTGGGCAAACACCATGCGGCTTTCGTTAATATTGGGTTATAAAACGTGGAATACAGTCCAAGGGTTGACGGGAGAAAGGCGCCACTTCCAGGGGTGAGTCAGGTAGATTTCCCGGGGAGTTGGCGTTGGAATGGTCTTATTAACCCGCTGTGTCAAGACCTTGGGGTCTTACCTCTTTCTCGCGGGCGGGAGGGCAAGTGCATTCACGAAGCAACCTTGGACGAGCGTCTCCCGGTGAGAGAAGATCGGTCACGACCCAGGAGCCACCGTCCCCGCCGGCCCGGGGCTCCGGTTTCCATAGCAATGGTCCCTTGTTGCGGAAAAGGATGGGCCGTGCCGGATCTCCGGAAAAACCCAGGCCTCGTTTTCCCCGTCCTGGAGCTGCCGGGCCCGGACTCACCGGCCACCGCCCTGCGATCACCCGGGAACCCCAACGGTCCTAGTCGAGAAGTAGGGTCCTGGCTCTGCGCGCCGCAGCCTAGTTCTGGCCCAGCCCGTCTCCATGGCAACGTGCCGGGCAGCGCCACGGCAGTCGCCAAGGGACAATCCCGCTGCATCCGCAGGCTTCCGGGCTTCGCCCACAAGGCCCGCCCCACCTCCCTGGTCCCGCCTTCCTTGCGCGTCTCCCGGGCAACGTGCCTAGCTGCTCACCGCCTCTCACTCCGCGTCTGCGCACGCTCATAAGACCATGGATCCCGAGAGGGCTCCCATTCCGGGGTTGCTCGCTAAAGCGGAAGGCGAAAACTCAGCGGTTGGCCAGCAGCTCCGGCCCTCGGTCACATGGAACCTAGACTCGCCCATTGCCGGTAGGGTCGCTCCTCAGGCGACCACCAGTTCTGGCACCTACCCGGCGTCGGCCTTCTTCCGGCACAGTAGGCTCCGTAACCGCCGGGACACTCACGTAAGGAGCCAGCCGAAGATTTGCTTCCTGCGGCCGCGGACCGCGCAGCCGCTGGTTCTCTTCAGGTGCGGCCCGGACCCAGAGCATTCTTCAGAGCCCGGACCCCCGGGGAAGCCGAACTCCCTCAGGCTTCTGCTCCCTCATGCAGCTGTGCGGATCTTGGTCCTGGCTCTCCAGAACCTTGGGCGCCTCAGAGCCCGGACTTTTTTTAGACTCCAGGAGAGTCTGAATCCCCCAGTCTAGGTCTTCACCCTCTCCGGAGCCCGAACACCCTCAGCCCGGGCTCTGAAGGAGGCTGAGAGTCTCACCTCAACTCGTATATCCTCCGAACGCCCGGACCGGGCCTCTAGTCTCCCAGGCTTGACGTCATCTGTCCAGAAGGTTCCTAGCGCCCCCTGGGCCGAGTCGAACTTCCTTACCAGCCGGGTGAGGCCCAGGTTCCCTCAGGCGTGACGCTTCCCTCAGTTTGCTTTCCGCAGCGACCCAGGGAAAGCCCTTAGTTCCCTCAGCCGTGGCCCCATCCCCACAGACCTCAGCTTCCCCTCGCCTCCTTCATTTCACACTCCCTCAGAGTACCCCCCTCCCCGCACCCTCCACCCCTGCCTTGCTCTGGCCGCGTTATGGTTCAAAAGGATCATTATTACTTGAAAGGGAGTATTTCCAGTCATGGCCTCCCCGCTCTTCCCACGAAGTATTGGTAATTTGGTGCACCACTGAGTGGGTTAACTGTTTAGTGTATCTAGGTATTTTACGCCTTTTTTTCCCCCCAGCAGAATTCGGGGGGACTTTTGATTGTGAGCATCTTGATCTCTAAAGGAGTCTTTTCTATCCCCTCACGTCTTTTCTGTCAGAAAAAAATTATAAATGGGAGATAAAGGGTGTTTGTTTCTACTTGTTTGTAGATGTAAAAACATTCAGAAAAGCACAGTTCCAAACTGGCTGAAAATGAATTAGGGGAAAGATTTTTTAATCCTTCAAAATGTTTTATCCTTTAAAATTTGTCCTATTTTTTTTTGTCCTGTCAAAATAGTATGCACTTATAGAAAAATAAGATGGACAAGCAAAATGAATGTCTGGAGACAATCACTGTTCCAAACGGGCTGACAATGAATTAGGATAAAAAGTTTTTTAGTCCTTCAAAGTGTTTCATCCTTTAAAAATTGTCCTATTGTCCTATCAAAATAATATATACACTTATAGAAAAATCAGACAAGCATAATGAATGGCCAGAGACAATCACTGTTACCATTTTGGTGTATATTGTTTCAGATCTATTCATAAATATGTACTGCAAAATGCCTATGCATTTTTTTTTTTTTTTAGTGGTAGGGAGTGAATATGTCACAAAAAATTTTACTATTTTGTAAACTTGCCCCCCCCATGCACTATGGATTATCCATAGCTGCTTACTATTTTATTGTATGGCCTAATCACAATTTATTCAGTTGCTTCCTTATTGTATATTTAGTTTCCAAATTTTAGAAAATATTACGAATAATTATTTTTAAGTAGGCTACATATATATATATATATATATATTGCAAAACCACTTCATGGTGTCACCAAATTATCAAAAGTGAAAACTCAATGCCTGGTATTATCCATTTTTGACCAATTCCTCATTTTAACCAAATTGTTATCTCTAGTTTGGCCTGGAACACCTGGCTTTGTTCTACCACACCCCATCCCATCCCAACTTCTGCTTCTCACCCTCCAGAGTCTCCTCAAGTGTTTGTCCACTTCAGACTTTCTTTACCTTTCTAGACTTTTCCCAAACCCTTTTCCCTTAGAATTTCCCAATTAGCCAACATAACCTGTGTATAAGCATTTTTTTCTCTTTTTTCCTGATTCCTTTGACCTTCCCCACCCAGATCTCCCTTAGACCTAGGCTCGAGCAATGCCCACTCCCCCAACCCCCCTCAAATTTATCCCTCTGACTTTGCTTCTTTCCTCTAAGACCTTCGCCTCCCATTTCATCCTGCATTTTCTTCAGATGACTGCTCCTTTGGACACTTCTCTTGTGGATTACTCTGATCTTTCTACATCCTTCTCAGGATGTTTTTTTTCCTCTCAGCATCCAAGAAACACCCCTTAGGCACACATATTCCACAGGAAGAAACCTAAGCCTACTCCCTTGCTCCTCTGACAGTTATGACAGGGCAGTGCCTCTACCAAGAAACTTCAGGAAGGCCCAGCCACTACTCCAGGATCCCATCAGATCAGGTTGTGTTCTAATCCTGACCCCAGCCATCAAGCCTGTACCACCTTCTCCTCCCTCTCCAGCTTAATGAATTCCAGTGAAACAGCAGTGAAAAAATTTTTACCCAAGAGCCACTTATCTCGGGTGATAATACGTGACAACCTCAGTGCACAGCGAATCTATGAGATGGAGGTAAAGTCATCACAAGCCTTTCCATTAGAGGGCATTAGTGGCTTGATCGATGTTCATTCCACTCTCGGGGAAATCTTGGAGTTTCGGGGAAACCTTGGAGATCTTAGAGGTGGTAGGAGGCCATCAAGGTGCTCTAATACAAGCCTCTTTTACAGAGGAGACAGTTGAGACTCCGGGTTACTGATTCACCCAAACTGTCATAGCTATTCCTTGTCTGAAGGAGCCAAGGAAGATTCCACATCTCTTGGTTCCTGTGGCATTTTTTCCCCTCAAAACACATTACTTTTCTATTTAGGGAGCCCCTGAGTGGATGCCTACAATCTCCTGTAAAAATAAGTCTTGCTTCTAGAGCTTGAAGTGGCATTGACACCATTTGCTCATTTTTTTTCACTTCAGGGATTATCTCCCATTTTTCCACAGGAGAACTGAGACTTTTCTACTTTTTGCTTATGGACAAGAAAGGTTTGACCTGCTTACCCAAAAACCCTCAGAAGAAGAGGGAAACCACAGTGTCATCATCCCACAGACCCTGACTGATTAATTCATTAAATGCATCTTCAGGGCTCACTTGGGACAGGCAGTGTTTTGGGCATAAGGAAGAGACTAGTGAACAGGATGGACTCTGAGAAAGTGCTCGTTTCTTCCACTAGAGCAGGCAGACCAGAGTTAAGCTACTGTACCCTTCTTGACTTTTTTGAGCTGCTCTCCATGTTCTAGGACCAAATCTGGAAGGACCCATGAGATTCTGACATTGAAAACAGTGGGAAAGGTTTAAGAGATGGTGGGAGATCTTCTTAAGTGTCACTGAGACCAAAAGAAGAGTAGAGGTGTGAGTATTTCTCTGCTAAACTTCCAGTGGCACGGTGTAGTGGAATTAGAGCAGTGTTTCTCCCCCACAAAGTTCTCCCATTAGGGGAGGAGATGGCTTTGGCCAGCCATTGATTTCTCAGGGCCTCCAGGAGGGCAGCAAATATCTAGTGTGTTGGGAACTCTGAACAATGCTCTGAGAACAGTGGATAATGGCTGGTATCCCTGCATGTGTGGCCGTGGTTCTCAACTGGGATGGCTATTCCCTGTGGGGACTTTGGCAATATATTGTAATAGAAGAAATACGTAAGGAATTCCCTGGTGGTCCAGTGGTTAGGTCTCTGTGCTTTCACTGTTGAGGGTGCAGGTTCAATTCATATCCAGAATCCCACAAGCTGTGTGGTGTGGCCAAAAAGAAGTCCAGTTCAGTGAGACATAGGGGGTGTCACCGACAATATGCAGGGGGCACCGGGACTGAGCGATAAGAGTTCAGGAAGGGGGGTTACGGGATGCACCTTTCCCTCCCTCCTTCTGACCACTCTCCAAACAGAGATGTTAGGCTCTGAGGCTGCAGACTGTCAGAAGGTTCCACAGGAGTGAGCTAGCTCGATGCCCTCACTTTACAAACAGGGAAATGGAGCTCCCTGTGAGCCAAGTTACTGATGGAATATTGAGTTCATCTGGCTCCTTTTCCACCTCGTAGCAGCAGCACAGATGCCTCTCTCACTGTGAAGTAACCTCACCTCTGCTTTTTTGTAAGATAAGAGCTGCAGACAAGACCAAGAAAAAGATGAGCCACTTGTATGACCACCTGAAAAAGAAATTCATGACAGACCAGCTCAGAAAGTTGGGGCGCTGGCGACGGGAATCCACGAACATCCAGGAGTACCTGGATAGCATCCAAGGAAACAAGGTCCCATTAAAAGCTCAGCCTAACAGGAAAGATCAGCCACCCTAGTCAAGGCAGAGTGGTCCATCCTGGGGCCATGACGATGCTCGGCTGACCGGTGACAAGCTGGAAGTGAGCCAGTCTACACCATTGTAGAACAGCAATAAATGAGACCCGTGGACGGTGGAGCACAAAGCCCCTTGGCAGTGCTGCTGTTTCTTGCCCAGTCCCGTCCCCCCCTTTTCTGGTGAAGGCAATCCGGATAGTCCTGTAGCTGCCCAAGTGGAAAGGACTGAATCAAGCCGGCTTCCAAGGTTAAGGCAGAGATTGACCTCTGGTACGCTGGTGCATTGCACCGGTGCAATGCACGGCCAGGTGTGCTGGGACAGTGGTACCTTGCATGGGAAGGGCTTGGTAATGCCACTGCATGGCATTCCAGTGGTGAGTCAAGGACGGGCATCAGGCAGACCTGGGTTAAGGGCTGTTTCTGCCATCCATCAGCTGTGAGACTTTGTAACCTCTCTGAGCCTCTCTCTCCTTAGGTGAAAAAAGGAGGTAGCAGTGAGGGAACCTACCTCCAAGAACTGGCATGAGGATGTGGAACACTTGGCCCAGGGCCCATCATTTGCATGGGCTCTCACCACTGCCTTCAGTTAGCTTCCAGCCTTGCCAGTCCTGCTGCCCTGGCCTGCCCA